TTTCTATTTAGGTCTTTTGGCCATTTTTTGATTGAATTGTTTATATTTCTTTTGTAAATTTGTATAAGTTCCCTGTAAATATTGGAGATTAAACCCTTATCAGGGATAACATTGGCAAGTATGTTCTCCCATGCAGTGGGCTTTCTTGTTGTTTTGTTGATTGTTTCTTTTGCTGTGCAGAAGCTTTTTATTTTGATGTAGTGCCATTTGTTTTGTTCCTCTTTAGTTTCCATTGCCCTAGGAGGTTTATCAGTGAAGTTATTGCATCAACATATGTCTAAGATTTTGCTGCCTGTTGATTCCTCTAATGTTTTTATGGTTTCCCATCTTACATTTAAGTCCTTTTTCCATTTTGAGTTTACTTTTGTGTATGGTGTAACTTGGTGGTCTAGTTTCATTTTTTTTTTTTTGCATGTATCTGTCCAATTTTCCCAACACCATTTATTAAAGAGACTGTCTTGACTCCATTTTATGTTCTTGCCTCCTTTGTCAAATGCTAATTGAGCATAGTGGTTTGGGTCAATTTCTGGGTTCTGTATATTCCATTGCTCTATATATCTGTTCTTGTGCCAATATCAGGCAGTTTTGAGAGCCGTGACTTTGTAATATAGCTTGATATTTAGTATTGAGATTCCTCCTACTTTGTTCATCTTTCTCAGGATTGCTGCAGCTATCCAGAGTCTTTTTTTATTCAAGATGAATTTTTGGGGAGTTCATTCTAGGTCTTTGAAATACGCCATTGGTATTTTATTGGGGAGTGCATTGAATCTATAGATTGCTTTGGGTCATATGGACATTTTAATGATTTTGATTCTACCAGTCCATGAACACAGTATGTTTTTCCTTCTGTTTATGTCTTCCTCTATCTCTTTTTTCAACATCCTGTAGTTTTCTGAGTATAGGTCTTTTATCTCCTTAGTTAAGTTTATTCCTAGGTATCTTAATTATTTTGGTGCAATGGTAAATGGTGTTTTTTTTATATCTCTCTTTCTGTAAGTTCATTATTGGTGTATAAAATGCCATAGATTTGTGAATGTTAATTTTGTATCCTGCTACATTGCCAAATGCATTTTTTAAGTCTAATAATTTTCTGATGGAGTCTTTAGGGTTTTCTTTGTACAGTATCATGTCATCTGCAAATAATGACAGTTTTACTTCTTTTCCAATTTGGATGCCTTTTATTTCTTGGGAAAATCAGGAGCTTCACAGACACAAAAAAAAATGCTAAGGGAGTTTATCACTACCAAGTCAGCAATGCAAGAAATGCTAAAGATAATGCTGTAAAAAGAAGAAATAGAAAGGGAGGAAGGAACACAGGCAAAAAGCACAGAAATGGCTACAAACGAGTACCTATCAATAATAACATTAAACATAAATGGATTAAATGATCCAATCAAAAGACATAGGGTATCTAAATGGAAAAGAAAACATGATCCATATATGTGCTGTCTACAGGAGACCCACCTCAGAACAAGGGACTCAAACAGACTGAAAGTGAAGGGATGGAAAAATATCGTTCAGGCAAATGGAAATGAAAATAAAAAGCTGTGGTAGCTTTACTTATATCAGACAAAATAGACCTCAGAGTGAGGCCATAACAAGAGATAAGGAAGGCCACTTCATAATACTAAAGGGATCAATACAACAGGGAGATATAACCCTGATAAATATATATGCACCCAATGCAGGAGCACCCACATACATAAAAAAACTCCTGGAAGATATAAAGGAAGAGATTTATAACAATACAATCATAGTAGGGGACTTTAATACACCACTGATATAATTGGGTAAATCCTCTAGACGAAACTTCAGCAAAGAAACAGCAATCCTAAATGACTCACTAGATCAGTTGACATCTTCAGAACATTTCACCCCAAAGCCACAGAATATACATTCTTCTCAAGTGCACATGGGACATTTTCAAAGATAGACTATATGTTGTGTCACAGGCAACGACTCTCCAAATTTAAGAAGATTGAAATCATATCAAGCATCTTCTCAGACCACAATGGCATAATATTAGAAATAAACTATAATAAAAACAATAAAAAAATTTAAACACTTGGAAGCTGAATAGAATGCTGTTAAACAATGATTGGATCATCAAAGATATCATAAAAGATATTAAAAGCATCCTGGAAACTAATGACAATGAAAACACAACAATCCAAAATCTATGGGACACAGTAAAAGCAGTCCTGAGAGGGAAGTTAATAACTCTATAGGCCTAGCTCAAAAAACAAGAAAAAATGATAATAAATTATCTAGCCCTACAACTCAAAGAGTTAAAAAGAGAGAGAGAGAAAAAAAAAAAGCCCAGGGTGAGCAGAAGGAAGGAGACAATAAAGATCAGAGCAGAAATAAATGACATACAGACTCCCTCCCCCCAAAAATAAATGAAACCAAGAGCTGGTTCTTTGAAAGGATAAATAAGATTGATGATCCTCTAGCCAGGCTCAACAAGAAGCAAACAGAGAGGACCTAAATAAACAAAATCAGAAATGAAAGAGGCGAAATAACAACAGACCCCACAGAAATAAAAGAATTGTAAAAAAAAAATTATGAACAACTCTGTTTCAACAAACTAGACAACCTAGAGGAAATGGATATATTCTTAGAAAAATGCAACCTTCCAAAACTCAATCAGGAAGAATCTAAAAAATCTCAGTAGGGTGATAACTATATGGGAAATTAAAGCCATCATCAAAAAGCTTCCAGCAAACAAAAGCCCAGGGCTAGACGGCTTCACAGGGGAGTTTTACCAAACATTCAGAAGAACTAAAACCTATCCTCAGACTGTTCCAAAAAAATCAAGAAAAATGAACACTTCCCAGACTCATTCTATGAAGCCAGCATCACCCTAATACAAAAAATCCTGGGGACGCAAGGATGGTACAATATCCACAAATCAATAAACATGATACATCACATAAACAAATTTAGAGATAAAAATCACATGGTCATACCAATTGATGCAGAAAAAGCATTTTTCAATACCAACACCCTTTCTTGATAAAAACCCTCAGCAAAATGGGAATAGATGGATCATATTTCAACAGAATAAAAGCCTTATATGACAAACCTATAGCCATCATCATACTCAATAGGCAAAAACTAAAACCATTTCACCTAAGAACAAGAACAAAGGGATGCCCACTTTCACCACACCTGTTTGACATGGTCTGCTAATATCTTGTTGATGATTTCAGCATCTATGTTCATCAGGGATATTGGCCTGTAATTTTCTTTCTTTGTAGTATCTTTATCTGGTTTTGGAATTAGGACAATGCTGTTTTTGTAAAATGCGCTTGGGAGTCTTCTCTGTCTGGATTTGTTTAGAACACATAGACCTATAGCTGTAAGTCAAATCAATGACCTTTCAAAAAAAAAAGATACTTAATTCAGAGTCAGGTTTCTTATTTTGTGAATTTTAGTGGGATGTTGAGGCCTCTTTCTAATGCCATTATCCTCCCTAATTTGATGATGTTGTTTTTAAGCCTTGATTGAGAGCTATTATAGAATTCTTCAATATAGAAAAATCTCCTTTAAAAGGGATTATTTCCATTCACTTTATCCAACATTTATATTTTAAAAATAAAAAATGTTACTGCTCATAGTTAGGTATCCGTGGGTATGTAATTGAAAGACACAATAGTTTCCGCCGAAACCGGTTTGGCTCAGTGGATAGAGCGTCGGCCTGTGGACTGAAGGGTCCCAGGTTCGATTCTGGTCAAGGGCATGTGCCTGGGTTGCGGGCACATCCCCAGTAGGAGATGTGCAGGAGGCAGCTAATCGATGTTTCTCTCTCATCGATGTTTCTAACTCTCTATCTCTCTCCCTTCCTCTCTGTAAAAAATCAATAAAATACATTTTTTTAAAAAAAGAAAGACACAATAGTTTCCCATAAATGTATAAATAATGAAACTCACTAGAAGTAATTTTCAAATGCTGTGTTAGCTCAAAATTTAAATTACGAACTAATTATTCAAAGACCATTTGTCTTAAATATCACAATTTAAGTCATGTAAACGTGTTGGCTCCTGCCCCCATTTTCCTTTTTAGTTCTTTCCATGTGTTTGCAACAGATTCATTATACGAGATTCCCTTTATTGAACTACTAGCATGGGTTCTGTGTTCTTGACTGTTTTATCACTGAAGCAGTTTAATGTTGTTTTTCTCTAGAATCTCACCATGTGCTATATTCTTATCTCTGATCTTTTCTTTTCTTTTTCAATTCCACAAAAGTTTATTGAATACGTACTACTCACATAGGAAATGAGTAGTAATTTGATATATCAATTAAGAAGTATGAGATAGGCCTGGCTGGCATTGTTCAGTGGTTGAGTGTTGACCTATGAACCAGGAGGTCAAGGTTCGATTCCCGGACAGGGCACATGTGGGGGTTGTGGGCTTGATCGCCAGTGTGGGGCATGCAGGAGGCAACTGATCAATGATTCTCTCTCGTCATTGATGTTTCTACCTCTCTATCCCTCTCCCTTCTTCTCTGAAATCAATAAAAAATATTTTAAAAAAAAGTATGAGATAGATGCCCATTTAAGATTCTTTGTATAAATTCTTTGAATTCTATAGGTGAAAGTTGTTTATAGGTTAATTCAGGAGAAAGATTGCATTTACAGACATTCCATATTTATAGACTGGTTTGAATAAGTATTTTTATTTGGAAATTGTCTAAATTACAGGATTTTCACCCCAAAGGAAAAAGTGCTATCACAAGCTAAAAGTGGTATTTCCTCCCTTGCACTGAAACACAACAAAATCTTGCCTGTCATCACACCATACTTGTGTTATACTTTTCATTGAGTATATGTTTTATCTCTTGTTTTATTTAAAAACATACTTTATATAGAAGATATTAAGAGACATTAATGAATAAATAGATCATCAGCCTATAAATGAAAGTAACACAATTTTGAAGTAAATATTAATAGCAATCTTATATATAATGCTTTATTTTTTTATATTTTAATTTCCACTAGATTCAACAAGCAGGTTCACCGTGTAGGCCCAGTGTGCATCCTGAGTGTGATCTTCCTGAATTTTGTAATGGATCCTCATCAGCCTGTCCCACTGATATCATGATAATCAATGGACATTCGTGTAAAACTAAATATATTTGTTATAATGGAGACTGCCATGATCTTGATGCACGTTGTGAATCCTTATTTGGAAAAGGTAATATGGTTTTGTAACATCTAAACAGTTGACCTTCAATATTTTATTAACATTACCAAGATAATGGGCAATCACATATAATTTATATTTTATATGATTATATATGTTATATATAAATACATATAAATTTAAATTATTTATTGTTTAACATGTATATATATTTTTGGTATATTTTTATTAAAATTTTATTAAGGTATAATTGACAATTAAAATGCATATATTTATGCTATATGATTTGATGTTTTGATATTTCATATAGTGAAAAATTTGCTATAATTTTTATACATTATGTTAATTACTGCTCACAGAATATATAAATGTATTCATATAAATGAGATTGTTGGGTCGTAAGGTAGTTTATTTTTAATTTTTGAGGAGTCTATATGTTGTTTTCGTAAGAGCTGTACCAATTTCATTCCCATGAATAGTAAAAAAACTTTACTTCTCGCTACATCCTTGCTAACAATAATCTTTTTTAAAAAAAATATTTCTTTATTGATTTCAGAGAGGAAGAGAGAAGGAGAGAGAGATAGAAACATCAATGATGAGAATCATTGATTGGCTGCCTCCTGCATGCCCCCCACTGGGGACGGAGCCTGAAACCCAGGCATGTGCCCTTGGCTGGAATCGAACCTGGGACCCTTCAGTCCACAGGCTGACACTCTATCCACAGAGCCAAAGCAGCTAGGGCAACAATAATCTTTTTAAAAAAAATAGTTATCCTAAAATGTGTGAGTTGTGCTTTTGATTTGTGTGTTCCTGATGATTAGTGATGTTGAGCACCTTTTCATATATCTGATGACCACATTGTCTTCCTTTGAGAAATGTCTCTTCAAGTCCTTTGCTATTTTAAAATCCCATTATTTGTTTTTGCTATTGAATTGTATGAATAACATATATTTTAGAGATACATGATTTGTAAATATTTTCTCTTATGCTATGTTTTCTTTTTTTATTGATTAAGGTATTATATATGTGTCCTTATTGCCCCATTACCTCCCAACTCATGCCCTCACCCCCATGGTGTCTATGTCCCTTGCTTAGGCTTATATGCATGCATACAAGTCCCTTGGTTGATCTCTCCCCCTTACACCCATCCTCCCCTACCGTCCCTCTGAGGTTTGATGGTCTGATCGATGCTTCTCTGTCTCTAGATCTGTTTTTATTTATCAGTTTATGTTTTTCATTATATTCCATAAATGAGTGAGATCATGTGGTATTTATCTTTCTCTGACTGGCTTATTTCACTTAGCATAATGCTCTCCAGGTCCATCCATGCTGTTGCAAATGGTAAGAATTCCTTCTCTTTTTTTTTTTTTTACTACAGCATAGTATTCCATCGTGTAGATGTACCACAATTTTTAATCCACTCATCTGCTAGGCACTTAGGCAGTTTCCAAATCTTAGCTATGGTGAATTGTGCTGCTATGAACATAGGGGTGCATATATCCTTTCTGACTGGTGTTTCTGGTTTCTTGGGATATATTCCTAGAAGTGGGATCACAGGGTCAAATGGGAGTTCCATTTTTAGTTTTCTGAGGAAACTCCATACTGTCCTCCATAGTGGCTGCACCAGTCTGCATTCCCACCAGCAGTGCACAAGTGTTCCTTTTTCTCTGCATCCTCACCAGCACTTGTCATTTGTTGATTTGTTGATGGTTTTTTTTACTGTGCAAAAGCTTTTTATTTTGATGTAGTCCCATTTTTTTATTTCCTCTTTAGTTTCCATTGCCCTAGGAGCTGTATCGGTGAAGAAATTGCTTTGGCGTATTGTTTGAGATTTTGCTACCTCTTAGGCTATGTTTTCTTTTCCCTGTGTTGATTCTTTCCTTTGCTGAGAATTTTTTTAGTTTAATTGCAGCCCCACTTGTCTATTATTGCTTTTGTTGCTTGTGCTTTTGTATCATATGCAAAAAATTATTGCCTGGACCGCTGTTCAAGAGTTTTTTCTTATGTTTTCTTTTAGGAGTTTTATTGTTTCAAGTCTTAACATTTAAGTCTTCCTTACCCCCACCTTTATTGAGATATAATTGACATACAACATTGTATAAGTTTAGTTGTACTATGTGTTGATTTGATTCTCAGATATTGTAAAGTGATTAGCACCATAACATTTAACTAATACTTCCATCATGTCACATAATTACCAATCCTTTTTTTGTGTGGTGAGAATATTCAAGATTTAATCTCTTAGCAATCTTCAAGTATGTAAGATAGTTTCTAATATATAATTGCAAATATATAATACACCTAATGCTATACATTAGATTTTCAGAATTTAGTCCTCTTATAATGAAGTTTGTACCTTTGATTGCCATGGAGAAGGTGAGAGAGAAGTGGCCATGCTCAGGCTGTATTTAGGAGGTAATGTCAATAAGAGTTGGATTACATAGTGGAGGCAGGAAATGAGGGATAAAGTAAATCAAGGATGATCCCTAAGTGTTAGCCTGAATATCTGGTTTACTAAATGGTTCCATAAACTGAAACAAGGAAGTCTAGGGGTAAAACTGAATTTGGTTTTAGGATATGTTCAGTTGTAAATGCCTGTTAGTCATGAGATGAGGTGAATCAGATATTAAGTTATGTTCAGTATTTTATTGTACCTCATATTCTTTGATAATAGGATAAGGGAATCTAATTATATTATTTGGAATAGCAGAGGGCAAATTTCTTACTCAGTAGCCTTGGTCAGTATGGTGTACTTAAGGGAATATTTGACATGTGATTTCACATTTGCAAAGTGCTGCCCTTTTAGTGTTTTCATCTCATCCGGGAAAACCCAGACTGATCTGAGAGAAAGTCTTTAACTAATAAGAAGCGTTCAAGGGGGAAGTTAATAATATAGCTCATTGATACCTTTAGATGCAATAGATGGACTAACAAGAATTGGACCAGATGAAAAACATCACTTTTAACAGAATTAATTGACTTCTCTGTGACTGAAGTATTCTTGTATAGTCTCTCTCCAAACTGGGCTGAATTATCCAGTTTCTGAATTTCCCTGGATATTATCATGATGTTGAACAATTCCTGCATTGGCATTCCTAACCTGGTATCTCAAAGTCACAATTGAACTTATTAAACAATCGAGGCCTGGTGCATGAAATTTGTGCATGGGAGAGGGGGTCCCTCATCCTGGTCTGCACCCTCTCACAATCCAGAACCCCTTGGACATCCCTCTCACAACCCAGGACCATTCGCTCCTAACCGCTCACCTGCCTGCTCAGTGTGCGTCAAAGCAACCAGTGGTTCCATCGTCATGGACGCTTAGGCTTTTATATATAGAGATTGTGAATTTTAAAAAATAACATTGCCTATCTTTATGGTATATACACAATGGACCAATATTTAAAAATGGTGGAAAGATATTGAATTAGAAGATAAAAAATTAAAAAAAAAATAGTGGGGAAAATGTAAATCATGGAAGGGGCAGGTAAACAGGAGAAACCTTCTTGATCTTAAAAATATGGAGAAGGAATAGTTGAGAACTAACAGTGACTAAATAAACATCATCTTAATTCTCATAACAACCTACTGAGGTAGATACTATTATCTGCTTTTGTGGATGAAGCAGTTAGGCTTAGTGAGGCTCATTTAGAGTAGGTAACTAGGCTGTGCAGAATTCTGAAATGGCCCCCCAGACTCTCCTGTTGTACGTGCTTTGGATAGAACCAGTGAACATATGATGGGATATCATTCTTGTGATTAGGTTATATAGTGAGAAAGGAATTTTGAAGGTGGTGAAGGTCCACCATCAGTTAACTTTGAATGAATTGAGATCATTGTGAGTGGGCCTGACCTAATTATGTGAGCCCTTAAAAGATGGGATAAGTCAGAAAGATTCTCTCGCTGGCTTAGAATAAATAAGCTCCCATGGTTGTGTTATGTATTTTTTTTAATTGATTTCAAAGAGGAAGGGAAAGATAGAGAGAGAGATAGAAACATCAATGATGAGAGAGAATCATTGATCAGATGCCTCCTGTATGCCCCACACTGGGGATCGAACCCACTACCCGGGCATGTGCCCTGACTGGGAATTGAACCATGAACTCCTGGTTCATAGGTTGATGCTTAACCACTGAGCAATGCTGGCCGGGCTAAGCTGCCGTGTTTTGAAGGGCCATGTGACTAGGACATGGGGGCAATTCCTAGGAGCCAAGATAATCCTTGGAAGATCGTAAGAAAATGAAGCTATGACTGCAAGCTCCCACCTCCCCATCCCCCCTGAATTCCACCAATAATCAGTGAGCTCACAGGAAGACTTCAGCCTCAGCCAATAACTTCTAGTGAGACCCTGGGTAGAGAGATCACTTCTGCCTTGCTGGACTTCTGACTTCTAAAAACTGACAGTATAAGAGTGTGTAAGCTGCCAATATTTTGGTAGTCTTTTGCAAAGCAATAAAAAACTAATATAGTAACAAAGTAAAAAATAGTTATATATAAAGATTGGCAATTTTGGTCCTTTTTAAAAGACTTCTTGAAGATACAGTGAGGTTTATTTAATGAGATTACATTATAGAACTGGCTTTTTATGAGTTCCTACTCAGAATCTAGGAGAACAAGTATAATTTTCCTGTGTTATCTTTTCATTGCTCTCTTTCACAGAGCCCTCTCATAATTTACACTTCTGTGATTCTTCTTATGCCTCATATCTTTTGTGATGAAAAGAACAGAAAATGAAGTGAAAGGAGGAGTAACATGACCATTGTCCTTTCACTTTAATTTTTCTATTTTTCAACAACCTCATTGGGAACATTTTTTAATTAAATAATAAAGGAAAAGGAGATATAATATCTGAGGCAATGAAGAAGATGAAAAAGAAAGAGAGTTTTAATCCAAATACATTTTAAACTTTCACAGGTTCAAAAAATGCTCCATTTGCCTGCTATGAAGAAATACAATCTCAACTTGATAGGTTTGGGAACTGCGGTAAGGAAAGAGGCCAATATAAATTCTGCCAATGGAGGTATGCTATGCAAATACTAAATATAATTTTGTTCTATAAGATTCTATCTTTAGGTTTTTTTTTTAATTGATTTTTGGGAGAGAGAGGAAGAGGGAGATAAACATTGATGTGAGAAACATTGACCAGTTGCCTCCATACATGCCTCAATTGAGGATTGAACCCACAAACTGGGAATGTGCCCTGACCAGAAATCGAACCCACAGCCTTTTTGTGTATAGGATGATGCTCTAACCAACTGAGCCACACTGGCCAGGACTAGTTTTTCTTCCTATGTGTTATTAATGCCAGTGGTTCCAAGTATGACATGTGTATGGGAGTGAATCTCAGATCAAAATCTTTGCTCTGACATCTTTCTTGTGCTACAGGCTTAAATTTACATCTAGTTGTAAGCTCATGTAGATGACCATTAGGCTCCTAAATCCAGTAGTAGCTGAAACTAATAATGTCTACTGCACCTTTCCTTTCTGAACCTGCTTATTTTTCTTTATAAAAATGCTGTTCTCATTCATTTGATTGCTTGCCCAAGCTGAAGACTGCCCAGTGTCTTTAAAATGAAGTTGATTTTTTGGTTAATCTCTTCCCACCCACCCAACCCCTCTTCCACCATTAGGCTCCTAAATCCAGTAGTAGCTGAAACTAATAATGTCTACTGCACCTTTCCTTTCTGAACCTGCTTATTTTTCTTTATAAAAATGCTGTTCTCATTCATTTGATTGCTTGCCCAAGCTGAAGACTGCCCAGTGTCTTTAAAATGAAGTTGATTTTTTGGTTAATCTCTTCCCACCCACCCAACCCCTCTTCCATCTGAGATTCGTCAATCTGTTCCATGCTTCTGTGTCTCTGGATCTATTTTGTTCATCAGTTTA